TAAGTGTTGGGCTGCCAGTTGAAAGGTCTGTGGTTTGAACTCACCAGCCGCCCACTGGAGCAAGATGAAATTTGCTTCCACAAAGATTTACATCCTTGGAGATCCTAGAGTGAAGTTCTACTCTCTCCTATAGAGGCAACTTGAGTTGGAATTGGCTGGACAGCAGTGGATTTTTACAACACTCTGACAAATCAGCTTAAATGGATCCTTACAATGTCCCTCTAGGAAATCAGGAGAGGATTTAACATCTCCATTTTACATCGAGGAAACAGCTTCAGAGAGGAGAGCAGCCGGGAAGACCAGGCCCCGGCCTCTCCTCCAGGCAAGTCTAGAACTGAATCTCCCAGTCCCAGGATCAACCTATGGTATTTTCTTGCCCATGTGGCGTTACCCGTGGGGCTCAACTACTAACCAGCAAGTTCAAATCCACCCGGAAGCACCTGGGAAGAAAAGCTTGGTGATCTACAAGTAGTCCTCGACTTACACGGGTTCCATTCTGAACAGTTCAGAGTTGTATTCTATGGCAACTGGTTTGGTTTGGTTTTTAGCACTGTCCAGCTCAGGACTAGGGTCTGGACTAAGAAGCCCCAGCCCTCAAGACAATCTCTCTGTAATTAGAAATGGATACAGGTATTCAGATATAATATTGCACCTTTAAAGGGTACAGGTGTGGAGCTAGGGTTTAATGCGCTGGACTGCAACTTGGTCAGCAGTTCAAGCTCACCAGCTGCTCCTCGGAAACTCTATACAGGTTCGCTATGAGTCAGAATTGACTCGACTGCATACAACAACAACAAAAGCGTACCAAACACACATATACTTATTTCATCTTCACCATGACTCCAGGAGGTAGAGATTATCCCCATTGTCCGGATGAGGAAACAGATTTAGCATGATTTAAAGCCAATTAAGGAGTCCTGGTGTGGCGCTGTGGGCTAATGCGTCAGACTGCAATCTCGTTTGAACTGCAAGGTCGGCGGTTCAAGCTCACCAGCCGCTCCTTGGAAACCCTATACAGGGTTGCTATGGGTAGGAATCGACTCAATGGCACTTAACAACAGCAACAAAGCCAATTAAAGTTATATATTAATCAGGCAGTCAGGATGAAAACCCTCCTCTGTCTGACTCAAGCTGGTTGTGGTTTGCTGGTCACAAGTGTAGTGGGTCTCCCCTAGCCAGGTTGAGATGAAGGCACAGACCATAAGGAATGCTTATTGCTGTAATTAATTGCCATCAAGTTGCTGCCAACTCATGGAGATCCATCCGTAGGGTTTTCAAGGCTGAGACCTTTCAGATGCAGACCCCTGGGTAGGTTTCAGCTGCCAAACCTTGGGTTAGTAGTTGATTTATGGTTTGTGCCACCATAAATCAAAAAGAAAAAGACAAACCACACATAGAAAAATGGGCAGCATATGAAACAGCCATTCACCAAGAAGGGACCTATATGATCAATAACTAAAAGGCAGTTTAACAGCATAGTGAGGAGCCCTGGTGGTACTGTGGGGTAAGCATTGAGCAGCTACCTGTAAGGTCAGCAGTTCAAACCCACCAGCTGCTCCACAGAAGAGAGGTGAGGCAGTCTGCTTCTGTAAAGATTTACAGTCTCAGAAACCCTAAGGAGCTATTTTACTCTGTCTTTTAGGGTCACTAAGAACCAGAATTGACTCAATACCTGGGTTTAACAGCATAGTAAAGTGCCAGGCTTCTCGTGAGTTTAAAGTGCAATCAAATCTCCTAGGGATCTGGTGAAAATACAGATTCTGATTCAGGAGGTCTGAGGTGGGACCCAAGATTCTGCCTTTCTAGCCATGGACCACCCCATTAGGTAGTGAGAACATATGTAAAGGATGAGTTTTAGACTCTTCAGCTAGCCTGGATCTGAATGTTACCTCTGCCACTTATCAGCTATGAATTTGGATGAGTAACATCACTTCACTATGCCTCCATTTTCTTATCTGTAAAATGGAGACAGTAACAATTCCCATCTCCTGGGGAAGGATTAAATGTACATTTATTAGTGCATGTAAAACATACTGCAGGTTTCTTTAGGTGGCAAAATAGGCTCAAATGTTAGCAGTTAGTGGTAGTTGTAGAATAACTAGAGAAACACAAATGAAACCACATTGAGATAACATTTCACGCCTACCAGACAGGCAGATGTTAGAAAGCCTAATAATTTCAAGGATCGGTGAAGTGTGGGGGAGACAGGAACTCCCTCATACTGCTGATGGGAGTGCAGATTGGTACAACCTCCAGAAGAGCCATTTGGTGGTGTCTGGTAAAGTTAAAGCAGTTTGCTGTGGGTCTGCCACCTGCTACACAGGAAGGAGTGCTCTCTGGGCTCCAGGATCACCTGCTGTATGACCTTGAGAATGTCTGGACCTTAGCTCCCCTTCTGTAATATGAGGTGGTTGTGCTCACTGAGCCCAAGGTCCCTTCTTCTTATAAAGGAACATTCAAGAATCACAGACTCAAGGAAGGTCAGAGACTGAAGAGCGTGAGTTGATCCACAATGGCAAATGGTCAACATGCTGGATACACACACTCTACCCTCCACAGTATTGTGTCTGAATGCCTTCATCCATTTCTAACTAGAGAGACATTGCCCTAGGGCTGGGTTTCTTAGTCCAGGACCTAGACTGGGGCTGTACAGTGCTAAAAACCAAAAAAGCAGTTGTCATAGAATCCATTTGGGTTCATGGCAACCCCATGTGTGTCAGAGTAAAACTCTGACCGACGTCACTAATCGTTCACAACAACACTTTCCTCTAAGCCCAGTCCTGACCTCACAATGTTCTGAACCCCATGTTACAGATCAAAAACAAAAAAAAACAACCATATCTGTTGTCATCAAGTCTATTTTGACTCATGGTGACCCTGTGTGTTACAGAGTAGATCTGCTCCATCGAGTTTCCTTGGCTGTGATTTTTATAGAATCAGATTTCCAGGTATGTCTTCCACAGCACCACTGGGTGAATTCGGCCTGACAACCTTGAGGTTAATAGTTGAGCACAAACCATTTGTGCCACCCAGGGGCCACTACCTATCAGTGGTAGTTGGCAGACAAGATTAAATCTAAGGGTATTTATCATCTCAGCAGATGTCACAGGTGTCTTGCCCATATCCCTTAGCCCTTTCTGCTTTGGGGAACGTGAGCCTAGTTTAGAAACACGAGTCTGATTTCTAACTGTCAACACTGGCATCTCTGCCAAGGGCAGGTGAGTGGTACCAGGAATAAACAGCCTTTAGTAGTTGTTGTTTGAGTCATGGTGTTGGAGAATAATAATAAATACCATGGACTGCCAGAAGAACAAACAAATCTGTGTTGGAAGATGTACAACCAGAAAGTTCCTTAGAAGCCAAGATGATCAGCCTTCTCTCGTACTTCAAGTGTATTATCAGGAAGGACCAGTCCCTGGAGAAGGACATTATGCGTGGTAAAGTGGAGGGTCAACGGAAAAGAGAAATCCTAACAAGATGGGATTGACATAGTGGCAGCAGCAATGGATTCAATGGGCTCAAACATCACAACCATTGTGAGGATGGGTCAGTACCACGCAGTTCCTTCTGTTGTGTATAGGGTCACTATGAGTAGGAACTGACTCGACAGCACAAAACAACACCAACAAAAAGTAGTTCTCAACCGATGACTGGCAGGAGCTGGTAAATAGTGTTTTCTCTTGGCTCCCTGAAGTCCTAAACCAGATGAAATTCCACTTGTCCAGAGTAGTTATGTACTTAATAACACATGTTATTATTATGTCTTATTGGGATTGCTCCCACCCAACTAATTATACTTGACCTTGAATCTTAGCTTAGTTTAATTCTGGGGAACTCCAAACTAAAACCCCTTCTCCATCTAGTCTAACCCCTTCATTGTAGGGATGAGGGACTGAGGATCAGAGCGGGGCAGTGAATGATTTGCTGAAGCCAGAGCCAGGGGCAGCGCCCCAATGAGAACCCTGTTTTCTTGACCTTATTCACTACATTCCCAGGGCTGCATTTGTCTACCTCTGTAAGTTAATGTGCCAGACTGCAAAGCTGTTTGAACTGCAAGGTCGGTGGTTCAAGCTCACCAGCTGCTCCTCAGAAACCCTATACAGGGTCACTATAGGTCGCAATCTACTCAAAGGCACTTAACAACAACAATCATTAGCCTGGGGATCTGTATTTTATTTCCCAGTGCAAAAGAAAAGGCTGGTCACAGGTAAGAAACTCCATGAGCGCTACAGACAGGATGCAGGGAGACCCCTCCCTGGAGCCCTGAGGTAGACACTTCCTCTTTCTTTGGTGCCCAGGTCCTTGGACAGTCCCTTAAACTCCCAGGACCTTGGACTCATCCTCAGGGTATAGGGTATACCACCTATACCCTATGGGTGAAGCTATATAGGATAGGGGCTCACTGAGGTAAGTGAACAGCCCTACTTCTCTTTCCCTATCTCAGGCGCTAGCTCAGGAAAAATAAAAATGCATGTTGCCACTTTTGAAAGAAAAATAGTTAAAAATTATATGTGCAATATTCGGTAGAGAAATGGATATTTTTTCATCCTAGATGATCTGCTTAATTATACAGAACATCACTGAAAAAGCGAGCCCTGCTTTTTAGCCACAGACATGTTAAATCTGGTTCCAGGGACAGGTCTCTGTGGGGTCTTCATGCAGTCTCATCACTGACTGGGAGACAAAAGCATACTCTGGAAAGTTCCTGAATTCAGCTCTCGTCCCTCCCATCCACTGCCTGACTCCAGGGCAGTTTCCCCCTCTCTGAACTTCTGGCTTGTCATCTGTGAAGTGGGGATGATGAGTCCCACCTCAGAGAGTTGTTGTCCTGTCCTCTTGCCCTTTCCCTGTGCAGCAGAGGCACTGCAGCCTGGCCACAGGGAGGGTGCAGCCCAGGGCACCACCTCCAACCCTCCCTCCCCCAGGCTGCCCATGGTGACAAGCCTGGAAACTTATGCTGAGTCCACTGCACCTGGAGACTGGAGCTGGGAGCCCTGGATATGAACAAGATCGTACCCCAGGTATGATCTCTGCTGAGAAGGCCCCAAGCCCTGGGTGAGACGTGGACAGTGAGGAGTGGAGGTGTTCAGATTGTCTGTCCAGAGACCTGCACTGCCGCCTCACTCCCAGGCCATAGTGGGACTCAACAGAGGAGCCAGCTCTATAGCTCAGGGAGCGAATGCTGGGAGGAGACCAGGGGACTGGGGGGGAGGTGCTGATATTATGGTAGGGGACATCAGCCTAAGCTAGTTTAGACAGGACAGGAAGAGGCACTGCAGACAGAGGTGTGGAAATGTGAAGCAGGCATGATGTGTTTGGGGAGTGTGAGGGGGCAGTGGTTCCACCCGAGGCCCTCAGTGATCCGGGCAAGAGAGTTTTCTTCCCTGGGCCTTAGTCTTCTCCTCTGAAAAACTCCACAGTCTTTCTGTGCTAAGCCTACCCCTCACTCTGTTCTCTTGGGCAGGGAGATTTCAATGGCAACGTTGCTACGGAAACTAAAACTCTCCCTGGAGGGAAAGGTAAGGGAGAGGAGACCTGGGTCAGTGCTCTGCGGGACCTTCAAGGTCGGGGTTCCCTGGACTGTGCAGTTGGCTACGGAGGCACAAAGAAGGTTCCCTTTAGGCTCCAACTGTCTCTCAGACCTCTACCTCTCAGGTTGACATCAGCTCCCAGCTTCCTGGCTGACTGTGCTGACAGCCATTTGCTTAATGTTGTTGCTATTATGTGCTGTGGAGTTGGTTCTGACCATAGTGACCCTGTATAGGGTTTCCGAGGAGCAGCTGGTGAGTTTGAACCGCTGACCTTGCGATTCAAACGAACTTGTGGTCCAGTGCTTATCCTACAGCACCACGCTAGGACTCCCTTGCTTAATGTTGTTAAGTGCCATCGTGTCGGTTCCAACCCACAGCAATTCTGTATAGGGTTTTCAAAGAACAGCTGGTGAGCTTGATCTGCTGACCTTACAGGTCAAACCAACCTTGCAGTCCAGCGCATTGCCCCACAGCACCACTCCAAGGTTGTTCAATGTGTCCATGCACAAGCACGTATTGAACACCTACTGTGTGCTGTCTACCTCACAGATATGCTGACACCACATTCAGTGCCCACCTGTGGTGTGGGGGGAAGAGCTCTGGAGTCAAACCCATAACTCAGTGGGTGACCTTGGCAATTCTCTTCACCTCTGAAGGATAAAGTGAGGAGGGATCACGCACTTACTGAGCACCCTTTACTATGTACCACTGACTCACTGAGCGCCCAGGTCAGTTCTCTTTAACTTTATAGAATGCAGGAAGGAACTAACACCATTTATACATAGTAGAACATCTACTATGTACCCTGTCTAGATCTAGATTTGATCAGTGAGGAAACTGATTCAGAGAGGCAGATAGCAATAAGAAAGAAGAAACAAGGATGGAGGTCCTACTATGTACCTGGCTTTGTATGGGTCTCTGCATACTAGCAATTCTGAAAGGAGACCTCTGTTATGGAGAACTGGCGCTCAGAGACATTGGGCAACCTGGCTAAGGTCACAGAACTGGGAAGACGGAAAGACAGGCTTCAGTTCTGGACTGGGGCCCATCCGGTTGCAAAGCTCTAGTGCCTTCCATTGTTCCACATGGATGTTTGTTTCTTTCCAAATTCTGACTGATGGTGGGTGGTTGTGGAACAAAAGAGCCTCCTGTTTTCTGGAGGGGATCTGCACTTAAGGGCCTTTATGGCATGAAGTGCAGCATCTCCATCTGGGTATGAACCTTGATTCTGCTGATACACCCCTGCGGCTCTCCCGGGACCCCTCCTAGTTCACAGCCTGTGTTACACAAATATTTGAGGAGCTGCTACTTGACTGACCAGGACGCTTCTCCTTGCCTGGCTTCCTGCTATCTTCCTGGTTACCTGAGTTTACCCTTTGTTTGCTAACAACAAGAGAGCCACTCAATTTTAGATTTATGCTGCATCTCCCACTATTGTCCCCAAGCCCATCTCAGGCTTTATCGCCAGGCTACTTGCTGTCCCCACCTGCCATCCTGTCTACATCCTGTCCTCTTCTGTGCCCTCAGCCAGGACCACCTTCTCTTGTCTTCCTGTAGAAATCCCACCCATAAGGTCCCTCCACTGAGCACCACCGGCACCCTGCCCATACCTTCTTGTTCTTTTATTTTAGTTTTATGAAAACTTTTCCTTGAAGTACAGCAGACATATTGAAAAGAATGTACTGCTTGAGGCATTTTCACAAACTGAATAGAGCCAACCAGAAAGGAACCCTGGTGACACGACGGTTAGGTGTGAGGATGCCAACTCAGCAGTTCGAACCCACAAAGACCTGGCCATCTGCTCCCATAAAAATTAACAGTCTAGTAAACCCTAGGGCACTTGTCCTCTGTCCTGACATGTTACTGTGTGTGTCAGAATTGGCTGTATGGCACACACCTGCCACCCAGAGGACTTCAACCAAACATCTCCAGTCCCCAGAGTTCTCTCCTGTAACCCCTTTCTAGTCACTGCCAGGGTAGTCATCCTGACTTCCAACAGTCTAGATTCATTTTGTCTGTGTTCTCTGTATTATGATTACTATTTTCTTGTGCTAAAATATGTCAAAATGGTTAAGCATTTGGCTGCCAATGGAAAGATTGGCTGTTCATACCCATGCAGTGGCAACTTGGGAAAGAGTTCTGGCTGGCAATCTTCTCCAGAAGGATTGGTGGTGGTGGTGGTGGTGGTGGTCGTGTTTGTGCCGTGGAGTTGGTTCCAACTCATATTGACCCTGCATAGGGTTTCCAAGGCTGTAAATCTTTACAGGAACAGAAAGCCTCATTTTCTCCCATGGCACCGCTGGTAGTTTCAAAGAAATCCTATGGGGCAGTTCTGTCACATGGGGTCTCTGTGAGTCAAAATTGACTCAACAGCACTTAACATCAGCATATATGACCAAACATTTGCTACTTCAGCCATGTCTCTGTGTTTAATTCAATGACATGAATGATATTCATCATGTTGCGCAATCGTCGTCACGATCCATTTCTAGATGATTTTCATCACCCCTAACAGAAATCAGTGCCCTTTCAGCACCAGCCCCTGGTAAATGCATGTGCCTATTCTAGGTATAAGGAGCTCTGGTAGCGTCGTGGTTACGAGTCGAGAAGCTAATCTCAAGGTCAGCATTTCAAATCTGCCAGCTGTTCCGTGGGAGAAAGATGAGGCTTTCTGCTCCCGTAAAGATTTACAGCCTCAGAAACCCTGTACAGGGTCGCTATGAGTCAGAACCGACTCCACGGCACACCACCACCACCATTCTAGGTATGAAATATGCATCAAAATATCTGGACTAGGCACTAAACTGAACACTTGGCACTGTGAGCTGTCAGGGTGCTGGTATGGGATCCAACTCCAGAATGCACCATCAGTTGGAATCTTGGAAAGGGCCAGGGTTTGGGTGTAAGCAGACGTGGACTGGCATGCCAGCTCTGCCCAGGATGATCTCAAGCCAAGTCCCTTTTCTGAGTCTTAGTCCCCTCATGTAAAAAAGAACTCTGGAAAATAAAACTAACAGCACTGAGGGGCCTGAGGTGGTTTCTGCCCCATGGGAGGGGCTTGGTAAGCTTCTGGGGTGGCAGCCCTCTGGAGGGATAGGAAGGGTGTGGGGCCGTGGAGCAGAGATCTGTGGCCCTCCCTCATCTGACTCTGCTCTCACCGGGCCTTGGAAGCCCAGCCTTCAGGGATGCCCTCCCTGCTCCCAGTGAAGAGCCTCCTGCAGGGTGCCAATGGGGCTGACCACCTCATCACATCCCATGGGCTTGTTTCCCTCCTCACACAGTGGGCTGTAACTCCTTCTGCTGCTCCCGCCGGGGGGCCTGCCTCTCGGCCTTTGTGCTGCTCCTGCTGGTAACTCTCGCGACCCTCATCTCCCTGGTGGACATCCTTGGACTCCCACCACGTACACCAGGTCAGGGTGGTCAAGGCCTTCTGGAGAGAGAGTTGGGGGGATAGTGAGATGGGGGAAGCCTGACCCACCCAGATTTTGCATGAGTATGTCTGTGCACATGTGTCTGTGTGAGCATGTGTGTCTCACTGTGTGTGTCTGTGGAACGTGAGTGTCTCTGAGCTGGCTGTCGTACTAACTGAGGCAGCTCTGGGAGGGAGCTGCGATGCATGAACATAAGTGTGCAGACTTGCTCCCATCACCGACCTCCATGCACATACGTACGGCAGAGTCCGTTACTCTCCTTGAATTCTTTGGGGCTGACGTAGGGGTCACTCCACAACACACTGAGATGGAAGGGGAGATTGTCAGAAAGACCTGGATACGAGGGAGGTAGCCCAACCTCTGGAAAGAGCAGTGAGTCCACAGGCTTGGGCTGTTCACTATGCCTGTTGCAGTTCTCCGAGCTTTCCTTTCTCGTCTGTACTGTGGGGCCAAGAGCAACACGTTACAAGCTCATTTGAGGGAACAATAAAATCAAAGTGTGACAGTGCCTAGAAGACTACAGTTGTGCCCAGCTGTTAGGGATTCTGACACCCCGCAGCCAGTCCAAAAGTACTGCTTCCGAGAATCTCACCCAGTGCAGGGCTCCACCATTACAACCACTCACTGACTGGAACATCATTCTCAGAAACTTCCTATGACACTGTAAGTGTGTCTTAAATAACAGAGAGCACCATTTCTTAATCTACATGTTCTATATCCTAGGGATAGTCAGAGTTTTATTTAGCCCCTCCCCCAACTGTGGGGTGTGTGTCATAACCCCCATTTTATAAACTCGGAGGCATCGGAGAATCTACCCAAGTTCACATAGCTGACATGCAGAAAGGTGGAGCTCAGGTGAGAGAACTTGAGTAGGTTTGATGCCCTTGAGAAGAGCACCCTTGACCCTGGGGGCCTCCCCCTGCCCACTCAGGGGCCCAGGCCTGTGTGACATCTACTAACAGGACGGGCTTCCTGTGCCATGACCGGAGGACCTGTATCCCAGCCAGTGGGGTCTGTGACAGTATCCGCACCTGTGTCCATGGTGAGGATGAGGATGAAAGCCTATGTGGTGAGTACTTCTGGACCCTCCCGGGGCCCCCTGAGGGCTGCCCCCCAACTCCTAGTCTCCCTGAAGTCATATAGAACCTTAACTGACCCTGAACACACTGGGTACCCTCCCATACCCAGGCCTTTGCTTGAATGGTGCTCTTGGGCAGGATTGCCTGTCTCCTCCCATCATGTCACACACACTGGAGAATGCTTTCCTGCTGCCCATCTGTTGCCTGGATAACCTGAATGCCTCCTTCAAACATTGCCTCCCCAAGAAGCCCTCCTCAACCCCCAAACTGGGTGAAGCACCCACCACGAGGTCCTCATGCCCCCTGTCACTCCATAAGAGCCAGCCCTAGTCACACTGGTTGTCACACTCAATTGGCATGTCCTCTGAAGTAGGCCTGGTTTAGTTGATCTTAGGGTCCTTTAACCTGGCACAGAATTCAGTAAATGAATGAAGAGAACTGACCCCAGACCTCAGAAACGTGAGTTTTCAGAGGAAAGGAGACCTGGCTTCGGTGGACTAGATGGCAGCATAAATTGGAGGGAGAGCCTGGTGAGTGGGCAGGGGGAGCTGGTGGAGAGAAAGTCATTGCATCGTGGAGTCCAAGACTAGACTTCCTCACAGCACAAGGCAGGTTCTTCCATAGTGGGATGGCTTATCTGTGAGAATGTATGTTTGTACTGAGTTTACAGCTGCCTCCCAATAGCATCTCTGACTTGTCTCAATTCTGACTCAGCCCCCCTCCCCCATGGACCACATTTTAACCCATATCCCATGTTGATGGCAAGGCTTTCTTGTTCTCCATGGGCTTCTGCTTCTCCAGCCCACAATCATCCTCCTTGTGATCTCCCCACTGCAACAGTGCTCCCCTAAACCGGGACTGTGAACCAGGGATACGTGAACAAATCCAAAAATTTTAAACATGATCCAGAAGATCAAATGGAACAGGAAAAATTATAGGTAAAAGCCCTGTTAGAAACTTCATCTCCCTCTTAGAAAATGAGGGCAGCCTATGTTATGCAGAACAACAAAATCTCTTGACTAATGGACTGAAATAAAGTGATGTCCCACTCAAAGATGGCGGCCCACCATGCTGCTTTGGATGTGTGTTGCTCTACACAGCCCTGATAATGATCCAGTCTCCCCCATCAGGGTCTCTACACCTTTTCCAAGTCTCACATTCCAGGCCTTAGACTCATACATATCCTGTTCCATTTATCATTTGGGGTTTGTTCTGTTTTCACTTTGTTGATTGTGACTAAAGTGGTTTGAACTGGTTCAAATCCCTGCCCAGAACACATAACTGTGTGTTCCTAGACAGTCCCAGAAACATCCAGGACACTTTTGGTTAGGTCTGGTCAGTCCAAGGAACAGAGGCCTGCACCCTTCTTGATCTGGGTTTTACATCTCTAACAATGTGGCCAGACTCCTGGTATGGTGCTATAGGATAAGCATTTGACTGCTAACCATGAGGTCAGCAGTTCAAACCCACTAGCTGCTCTTCAGAAACCCTACACAGTGTCGCTGAGTCTGCACTGACTCGATGGCACTTAATAAGGCCTGAGTTTTGTGTTAGGGTTTTTAGTGAGCCTGTTGCACTAACATAGAACACACTTTCGAGGCGGGTCCTTTGACTTCCTCTCACAAGTTTGTGAACCCAAAGCCCATGAGTTCTGGGACCTAAGCACAAGACTTTACCTTTTTATTCTTGCATGTTCCTGTTGGAAGAGTCTTCTCGAACTTGAAGGTAGACTCGTGTTAGGTAGGTGTCTGGAGCTGTGTGGGATGGGAATGCACATGACTGGGAAGGGCACAAGGAACAGAGAGGCAACTCTCTAGGGTGCTTGTCATACAAACTGGGTGTACAGGGAAAGAACATATCTCTCCCTTCCACTCAACGACTTTCTTACCCAGAAAACATTCTCCTTGCGCACATCCTGCAATCAATGGGAAGTAATCCTGAGTTTGGTAACTGCCAGGGTGGCTAGAATGATCCCCCTCCAGATAGCCCTGAGACAGCTGTGGCCAGATGTAGACTTCCTCTTGCTTCATCTGTCCCTCTGCAGGAGCTGTGCCCCAAAGCCTCCCCAGCTTTCTTGTGGCCCATTGTGGAAACCCTGCCTCCTGGATTTACTCAGACCAAAGGTGTGATGGGGTCAACAACTGCGGGGACTGCTCAGATGAACTGATCCCAGGTGGGGCCTGGACACAGGTTGGGCTGGGGAAGGGGGCCAGACAGTGGTCAGAGGGCAGGATCTACCCAGGGAATCTACCAGGTTCCTCCTCGAATCCCTGGAAGAGCATTCCACCCCTGTTTGAACACCTTCAATGCCAGCATGCTCATTACCACTCCAAGTATCTCCTTCTGGAGGCTCATTCTTTTTTGGTGGGCAGTTTCCTTTCAACTGCACATGAAGAAACTGAGGCCAATATAATGGTAATGCAAGGAGTATACGGTCCCACTGGAATTTGAACCCGAGTCTCCTCATCTCTTCTGTACTGCCCAATAGCAGCTGAACAGGAATCACTATCCCCAATTTATACGTAGTTAAACTGAGGCTTAGAGAGGAGAAGGGACTTAATACAATGAGAGACATGAAGGGAGCTTAAGTGTAAACACAGGTGTCTTGACTGCAAGTGTGGAGTTCTTTCATTACTCCAGTTTTTAAAAACTATGCCCACCTGAGTATTTGAGCCTGGCTTCTGAGTGCCATTTCGCTTGTCTTCCTTTACTTAGTAACAACCTTGGGCAGATGAGGAAAGAGGCTCAGACAGGGAGAGCAACTTGTGTGAGGTTACACAGCCTTGGAGTTGGGGAGAAAAGATTCTCTTAGCTGCAGGGAAATAAGGAGGACAGTCAATCCCAAGTTAGATGGGATGGGGCTACGGGGTGCTGGGTCCTGAGCTAGTGGGCGGGACATTTCAGAACATACCCAGTAGGGTTCTGTTTCCCCAGTGACCATGTGCCCACCCTGTGGCCCCGGGTGGTGGCACTGCACCCCGATTGTCTTCAAGTATTGCGAATGCATTCCGAGAAGTCTCTGCCGGGACCACACTCAGCACTGCTCCGACTGGTCAGATGAGTACTCCTGCCCTGGACCCTGAGTACCTCCCAGGCCAGAGTGAAAGAAGGTTGGAAGGATTGACGTAGAAAATCCTTTCCATGTGCATTGAAAGCTAGAACACAAGGGCAGAAGGAGCTTTGAGATCATGTGGCATGATCTGTGTGCTTTCTCTCAATAAGAATTGTGTCTCCTGCTTTCAACTTGTTCAGACTCTGAATACGTGCCGTGGCAGGGAGCTCACCATGTTAGGCAGCTCCCACCAAAGATTAGGACTTCCATGTTCATCGCAGCACTAGCCACAATAGCAAAAAGATGCAGAGAGCCTGAATGGATAGACCAACTGTAATACATATACACACAATGGAATATTATGCAATGATGAAGGATAACAAAGCTGCGAAACTCCCCATAACATGGATGAACCTGGAGGACATTATGCTGAGTGAAATTAGTCAATCACAAAAGGACACACATTGTATGAGACCACAATTGTCAAGAAACGGTTTTCATGCTAAAAGAAACGTTCTTTGATAACTACTAGGAGTAGGAGGGAAGGGGTAGAGGGTAGACGTGTGTTAACTCAGGTGAAGGGGAAGACAGTATACAACAAGAGGGAGGTTGGCAGAAGAATGATGAAGGAGGAAAAGACAGGGAGGAATGCAAGAATTAAAGGAAATAGAAGTAAATACTGCTATGTGGAGTCCTGGTGTGGCGCTGTGGGTTAATGCATTGGACTGCAAAGTCAGTTTGAACTGCAAGGTTGGCGGTTCAAGCTCACCAGCTGCTCCAACCCTATAGAAGGTTGCAATGGGTCAGAACCAACTCGATGGCACTTAGCACCAAAAACTGTTATATATTATAATTTTGTAATAACAATGATACATGGATAAATACACAAGCTGAGTGGGTGTGGAAGGAAGAGTGGGAATAGAATCACAAACGTATAAAGGTTTGATGGAGGATGTTAGTGCATTGGTCTTTACCATTGCTGCAAATATATCCATAAATATGGAGCATACAGGGGGTAAAATTATGAAAACTTCTTATATATTACCAAACACTTCAAGGGAATGAATCCCTGGGTCTGGGGGCTCAGGACCATAGTCTCGGAGGACACCATGGTCAATTGGCATAACATAGTCCACAAAGACAGTGTTCTACATCCTGGTTTGGTGAATACAGACTGGGATCTTAAAAGCTCATGAGCAGTCATCTAAGGTGCAGCTATAAGTCTCTCCCTGTGCAGAAGAAAGAAGAGTGGTGACAATTAAAGATGCTAGCAAACAATTAATCCAATGGACTAATGAATCCTGTGAGAATCAGTCTCCCTGACCCTGAGACCAGAAAAATGTCAGTGGGGCCTGGCTACCACTACCAACTGCTCGGAAAGGGATCACATTAGAAAATACTGGATAGAGTGGCAGGAAATGGAACAAAACTCAAAATTATTTTTAAAATACCAGGCTTACTGGTCAGAAAGAAACTGGAGGAACCATAGGACTATGGCCCTTGGTCACCTTTTAGAACTGAACTCACCCTGGTGGCTCATTTTTCAGCCAAGCAGTAGTTAGGTATATAAAGGGGATAACACTAGTGAGGTATGCACATCCTACTATGGTCAACAATTCGATCAAAAGGGCAGAACTAATCTAAGGACAAAATCCAGAAGGTCTGGGAAAGATGGAGGAATGGAAAACAAGAATCACAGAGAGGAAGTGGGATAAGTGATGTTCCATGGAGGGGATAGCAATCATTGAAATGAAACCAAGCATATGATTTGTTGGATGTAAAATTGATAATCTATTCTGTAATCCTTCACTCAATTCACAATAAAAAGTTTAAAGGACAAAGACGAGGACTTTCAGGATTCAGAGCTGCTTCTACACAAAGGGAATCTGCTCGCTCTGCTCCAGGATGGACTTGAGGGTCTTGAGTTTGTCACCCCTTAAAGAGCAGACAGGTCTGGGGTTTAAACAGCAAGCACAGAAGTTTAGCCCTTTTGGATAGCACCCATGTGAAATGTGTTTCACTTTTTGCTCCTTTGGTACTTAAAGCCGACATTGCTAATCAAGCGTGCTAGGCTTGGCTGCAGCTTGAACATTTTTCACAACTCAGGAATCCTAGTAGGCTCTACTGGTAGATCATGTGAGATGGCTCATGAAACAGGATATTTGTTATCAGCCATCCCAAGAGGCTCTGAGCTCCTCATTGTCCCTCTGTACATCCTTTTCCACCTCCCTACCTCCACTCCTGCCCATGATTAACTACTCAAAGGAACAGTCCAGCTTTCTGGAATCAGGGGTTATATTTTGATTCTGAAGCCTGAGTGAATGAGCCATTTCTTGGCACACCCTTCCTTCTACCTTCACAACATCTAGGCAAGTAAGGACAGATGTCTGCATGAAACAGGAGAGGAAACTGAGGCCTAGAGAGGGACAATGACTTGCTCAGAATCACAAGAAAAGTCTTTGCTGGAATCGGGACTTAAACTATGGAATCCCAATCCTGAGTCTGTCCTGCTACCAGAGTGATGGTACCTTGGGCAGGGGTGAAGTCTGCATGAGATATTAAAAAAAAAAAAGGTTATCTTGAGGGTCAGAATATCCAACTCATATTTTGGAGGAGAGGCTTGGAATCCACTAATGAAAAGGTTGCCGGTGAGGGAACAAATCTGAAATTAAGGATTCCTGGTATGGCACTATGGGGTAATGTACTGAACTGTAAGATTGGTTTGAATTGTAAGGTCAGTGGTTCAAACTCACCAGCTGCTCCTCAGAAACCCTATACATGGTCGTTATGAGCGAGAAACAACTCAACAGCACTTAACAACAACAACTGGCACAATGGTTAAGTGCTCAGTTAAGTGCTTGGCTGCTAACTATAAGGTTGCAAGTTCAAACCCACCCAGCCAGTACATGCAAAAAGACCTGGAGATCTGACCCCATAAACATTGTTGTTGGGTGCCTTCGAGTTGGCACCAACTCACAGCAACCATATGCACAACAGAACAAAACACTGGCTAGTCGTGTGCCAACCTCACAACTGTTGCTACGCTTGTGAGCCTATTGCTGCTGCCACTGTGCAAATCCATCTCATTGGGGGTCTTCCTCTTTTTCACTGACCCTCCACTTTATCAAGTATGATGCCTTTCTCCAGGGACTGGTCCCTCCTGATAATACGTCTGAAGTATGAGGGACAAAATCTCAACACCATGGCTTCTAAAGAGCACTCTGGCTGTAGTTCCAACACAGATTTATTTGTTCTTTTGGCAGTCCATACTACTTTGAATATTCTCTTCCAACACTATAACCAAAAGCATCAATTTTTCTATGGTCTTTTTTATTCATTGTCCAATTTTCATATGTAGATGAGGTTGTTACAAATACCATGACTTGGGTCAGGCTCACATTAGTCCTTAATTTGACATCTTTGTTCTTGAACACTTTAAAGAGGTCTCATGCACTAGATTTGCCTAATGCAATACATTATTTGATTTCATGACTGCTGCTTCCATGAGTGTTGATGGCTGATCTAAGCAAAATGAAGTCTTTGACAACTTCATTTTTTTCTCCATTTATATTGATGTTATTTATTGATTCATTTATAAGAACTTTCGTTTTCTTATTGAGATACAACCCCTACTAAAGGCTGTGGTCTTTGATCTTCATTAGTAAGTATTTTACTTACCTCTTCACTTTCAGCCAGCAAGGTTGTATCATCTGCATATCGCAGGTTGTTAATGAGTCTTCCTCCAATCCTGATGCCAAACTTTTCTTCATAGAACCCAGCTTCTCAGATTATTTGCTCAGCATACAGGTTAAGTAAGTATGGTGAGAGAACACAACTCTGGTACACACCTTTCTTGATTTTAAACCATTCATTGTCCCCTTGTTCTGTTTAAATGACGGCCTCTTGGTCATGCGGACAATGAAGTGATCTGGAATACTCATTCTCCACAATGTTGTCCATAGCTTGTCATGATCCACACAACTGAAAGCCTTTGCATAGCCAATAAAGCACAGATAAACATCTCTCTGGTATTCTTTGCTTTCAGTCAAGATCCATCTGATGTCAGCAATGATATCCCTCATTCTATGTCCTTGTCTGAATCTGGCTTGAACCTCCGGAAGTTCTCTGTCAATGTACTGTTGCAGGCGTCTTTGAATTATCTTTAGCAAAATTTTACTTGTAGAGGGCAAGGGGTGGAACAAGGTAGATAGGGGAACACTGAGACAGGTTTGCATGGGCTAAATGCAACAGAGGTAAATAGTGATGGATGCTCAAACTTGGAACAATAGGGCTCTGTGATAAAAGGATCAAGGCATAGTTTGAAGAGGGGAAATAATACTAAGATGCTTGACTGTCTTATGTATATTGATTTCCCTTGCCTATATTGTAAAATGGACTCTTGAGTTGGATAGGAAGGAATGTTGGGAAACATGATTACAGAAAATTTGTAAGACCGTCTTCAGCCTATAACTGACTGGAATACCTAAAAGGGGTTCTAGAACTTGCTCAGTGAAATAGGCCTCCTGCAGAGCCTTTACAGAGTATAAGACCTTAGGTGGAATCCTGAGCCCCATCCAGAACCTTGTGAGGTGGGACATTCCCACTAGAAAGGATTTGCAGACCAGTCTGGAACAGCTAGAGTGACAGAAGATACATCTTCAAAGAAAGATCATCAGGAAAAACCCAAAACAAAATGGCAGTATGACTGGCTACTACAAGAATAAACAAGTTGTTCACTGGGAAGCCATCAAGGCAAGCAATCAAGTTCCTTCAGCACAAACCCCCCTGTAAGACTAAAACTCAAAGGGAACACATGAGCAGGTATGTAAGCTTGCTGACGACCACACTGGTGTGCTGGTGAGTGGAAGAGGGGGAAAGGCGGCAATGAAGAAATGGGCTGAAATCAACCACGTTCCACAGACTCCCATTGACCTGGAGATGAGAGAGTGAAGAGGAAGGGCTGGTTGGTCCAAAGTGTGGTGAGACCTGGGGACACCTCCGCCTATAGACAAGGACATAGCCACACAGGGT